ACATTCTTAATAATAACTTAATTTTTTTTATATCTTAAATTCTATCTTAAGCTAATTATAAAAAGCTATTCATGTATTTTTTTCATTACTCCATAGAAATCATTAATGCTGACTAAGTTAATTTGAATTGCTTTAATTCCATTTTCTATAAATTATTTATTTAAAATACATTATAATATTTTCTCTATTTTTCTCATTAACTTATATTTTTCTCTGATTATCTAGGTTTTTTTATCACAGGAAGAGAACTAGTCATAAATAACGATAAAATGAAGCATTTCACTTGTGATTTGTGTGATTTTTCAACATTTGGAGAACGAATTTATCAGAAACATTATAAAACTCACTACAGTTCTCACATTTGTAGTGTTTGTGGAAAGTCTTTTTCCACTAGTACTCTTTTGAAAGTTCATTTCAGAATCCATAGCGGTGAACGTCCATTTGAATGTCCAGTGTGTAAAAAGAGGTTTACTCAAAAACAAGCTCTTCAAAGGCATTTTCTTACTCATAAAGAGAAGTTAACTTTTTTAAAGTAATTTGTATAATAAATTAATGGAAAAAATATATATTTCTTTGTCTGCTTGATTTCATGTAGTGTCATATTTTTGTTTTCATTTTAAGAAGTTAAGCGTATCCATTGAAAGAGTGCTCGTCACTTTATAAAGTTTGTAAAAAATTAAAAATTGTCCTTTCAATCCTTAATTTTTGGCATTATAATTAATAATTTTCTTTTAATAATTTCTTTTTCTTTTATATTTTTATTGGTTTTAATTTTTATAGTTACTGAATTACTATTAAAATAATAGTGATAGAGGAAAATTGCTGAATATGTCGAAATCATGTCAATATACTGTTTTGCTTTATACGTCAATATACTGTTTCGTATTTATTCACTAAACAGATAAATGATAATTGATTTGAACTTGATTTAATTAAAATTTCAGATTATAGCTTTCAAAATTATGCAATTTAAAATGTTGAAATTTTTTTTAACATCATTTGAGTCACCCAAGCCTATACAATGTTTTGTAAAAGCTTATGGACCTAATAAAACTTCAAACATGCTTTTTTTCTTCTTTTTTTAAAAGTTGTTAAAAATTATTGCACATATATTTTAAAACTGTGATTCATATGTTCCGAAATTCTGCTGAATCTATTAGCTTTTCTGATGTGGAAGATACATTAAAATAAATTTGTTTTACTTATTACTATGCCAAATGATAATACTTTTTTAAATGTTTTAGAATTGCTGCGTTTAATAATGGGCATGTAGAGCAAAGTAAAATATTTTGTATAAAAAAATTTATTAGCTTAATTTTTTAAAGTTTATTTCCTATACTTTCCGCCAAAGCTCTGATATCGTGACCAACGGACAAGGAGTTTGTTATCAACCTTTTAAGTAGTAAGTCTTTTAATTCTGCTTTTGACAGGTATTGAAGATGACTTCCTTCTAAAGATTTTCCGCACTCATAGTGAAAATTATTTTTAGGGATTGAGTTCAAAAAGTAAATGCTACAAAAAAGTTTTCTTATTCTGCCTGATTTCAATGAAGGGGAAGGAGGAAAAAAAAATAACAAGTAGTTGTTCCCATGACGAGGGCTTTGGTGCCTAACGGGAATGAAGTTAAGTTTATTTTCTGAATAAAAATTTTTAAAAACTTTTCTAGCTATGTTTTTCTTATGGCAATCTATCTGTTTTGTCAGACGTTGATAATTTAGACAATAATTGATTATAACTTGCAGGAGATATAGTTAAAATATTTTAAGATGAAGATTTTTCTCTAGCAATATTATTTATTTCATCAAATTTGTCTGTGTAGCAAATTGCTTGTAATTATATAGAATGTGTTAGTTTTGAAAATTATATAAGTAACCATGTTTGACAAAATTAAAAATTCCAAAAAAGCATTTTTCTGTCCAAAGAAGTTGAATTTAGTTTATTATGGTTTGCATAATATAGAATATCAGTGATCGAGCATTTTTTGTAATAGGAATAATGTTGAGTTATTTCTTAACTATCTTATAAATTAAGTAAATTCTGTACGTCTTTTTGATTTACAGCAGCTTTACAATTTCCCTTTTAGAAGTACTGTTAATTAAAGTTTTGCAGTTGCTATTAAACAATATTATTGATTTATGCCTTTCATTTAAATAACTATGTCTATGATATGATTGTGAGAAGAGGAACCCAGAAGGTGCATTAGTGTTACGTTGCTTCTGTGCTACTGAATCTTGACCCAACTTACCATTTTGTCCTTGTGTTAAAAATTTTGCTTTGAAAAAAATACTCAAATGTAATATTGATTCTTTATTCTCCTCTTAAATTGTGAAATATTATTCAAAGGGAAAATTTAGCTTGTGCTATGATGGTATTCTGTGTAAAAAAAAAATTTTCTCCAATGGCTAATAGGGTAAATTTTTTCAGTTACCAAATTTGCTTTTGAGTTTCAGCTATATGCTAAGGATAAGTAATGCAAAATTAGTATAGGTGGATTCTTTCATTACTTGTTACCTTTTAACAAATACAACTTTTCCTTATTTTGTAACACTACAACCCACAGTGGACGTTGTCTTACTGAGCAATGTTATTCAAAACCTTTCTATTCTTAACTTCGGTTTTCCAATTTCAACTTTTCATTATGGTTAAATATTTAGTTACATCATCTAACTATCTCTTTATGTCCTAACCAACTGGCAAGTAATATTTAGACCCAATCCACCTCTCTGCTACCTTTTTTTTTTTTAAACAGGGTGCGTAGCGTTTTTAAAAAGTGCTTAAAGGCGCTTATTTTCGTTTTTTAAAAGCCCTTAATGGTGCTTTTTTCATTGGGTATTTTTAAAAAATGCTTAATTTCCCTTTTCCAGAATGAGATTTTTCCTTTACCATGTTGATTTTCGCAATAAATTATGCAGAAAGACGCTGCTCACATTATTCTATTCAACGTTTTCACAATTAATTCAACCCCAATCTGTCTCTGCTTATCGTCAGTCCGTAGCGTATGAAAACGCCATTCGATTTACATGATTAAAAAATTTGACAGTTGTCAAAAACAATGCCGAAAGTTATTTTTTGACATGACGGTTAATACCGTCGATTGTCAAAAACTTTCCAATCCTACCTAATTATGTTTTTTTAAGTGCTTAAAAATATTTGAGTGTTTGAAAAGTGCTTAAAAGGTGATTATTTTTTGTTGAATAATTTAACTGTTAAAGCATGCAGAAACTCATTATTTTCTTTCCTGCAAAAATATTAAAATTTGAACTTTAAAACTGAACTGTGTGTTTTATGATTGTTGATCATATGACTACTGAAATATGAAAAAAAGCAGGTTAAAAACTTACAGAAACTTAACACACTAAAAGAGGAAATTTTTATCTTTTCCTTGGATATTAATTTTTTTCATTTCAGTCTTGATTTTTTTATTTATTTAATTTTTTCATTTTATTTTTGATATTGATAATTCAGGTAATAATTAAAATTATTTAATCGTACTGACTCTAATTTAAAAACTTTGTTAAAATATTTTATGTCTAGGAGGCTCTAAAAAAATTAGGTAGATAATGATAATCAAGGTTTATATTTTTTACTGCTGATTATAATAATAATAAAAAACTTTCATAGTATTTTTTAAAATTATAATACATTTGTCACGCTTAAAGAAATCATAACATGTTCATGTAATGAAAACATTATTCATTCGATTATTACTTTCCTAAAATAATTTTAAAAAATATTAAATTATGTTTCTTCTTTAAGAATCAATTTTTGTCTTTAATTAAATTTAAACCAGAATTTTATTTAAAAATAAAACCTCGTATCTAATTTTTATTAGATAGCTTCAGGAGATGAAATAAAGTAGCTGATTATTCTATAAATAACTTTTTCTTAAATTATATTTTCTCTTCATAGCTATAATTTTGGTTTTGCGATTTATGTAATCTTTCTTCGAATGTTAGTTAAAATCTCTTTCTTATTTTGCAATTTGATTTCGGCTCTGTTCTTATGAGAAAAGTGAAAAATCCGTAAGCTTTTTATTTTTTTAAAGAACTTTTATAATGTCATAATCAGGGACTCATAATATAGATCCCAAAAATAACTCCTTTGCTTTTTGTTGTTGTTGTTAATTTACGTCGCACTAGAGCTGCACAATGGGCTATTGGCGACGGTCTGGGAAACATCCCGGAGGATGACCCGAAGACATGTCATCACAATTTTGATCCTCTGCGGAGGGGATGGCACCTCCGCTTCGGTAGCCCGACGACCTGCGCGCGAAGTCGAGCACTTTACGTTAGCACAGTTTAACGAGGACCAATACCGCACACCCTCGGTCCCTACGCAGACTGATCCAAGTGGTCACCCACCCGCACACTGACCGCAGCCAGTGATGCTTGACTTCGGTGATCTGCTGGGAACCGTGTCTTAACGATCGGTCCACTGCGGGACTTTGCTTTTTACTGATGTTGTAGTAATGAAAGTTCAGAAAAACCAAAAAATTGTTAAGAATGTAAATTATTCAAATGTGATGTCCAGTAACACTAAAAAAGTGTCGTATTTATAAATATCATGTGATCGCAACACTCGAATACGCCATCTGGGGAGAGACCGGTTTCATGCCTTTAGCCCTTCTCCCTTCCCTCTCCTCCTCTTTTCAGTTGTATAGGAATGTACTACGATATTTTCCCTTTTCTTAATATTTTTCCTTTTTATTTAATAAGAATATTTTTTAAAATTTCCATAATACTTTTCTTTAGAACTATGTTTAATGTAGTTTTCAGTTCCATATAGTTTTTCAAGTTAAAAGATTTCAATCTATATGAAAATCAAGAGAGAAACTAACGTACTTCCTTCCTCTATGACTTTCCACACGCTAGTGGGGAAAGCATGTGAAGTGTTGCCATAGGAAAAGAGTTCTGCTCTACGCCACCTGCAGCCCATTTCGATCGCCAAATCCAATTCAGTCGCTTTAAATTACATATTTTCTTGAACTTTAACTGCGACTGTAAAATTATTGATAAATTGATTATTTGTTTACGTTCTCGTTGATAGAAAATGATTGCTAACTGATAGCAGCTGAAAACGAAGATGTTAAGAAATGTCTGGAGTCTGCAACTTATGTCTCTGCTTATCGTCTCTAAAATAAAGTGTTCTTCCAATTTTTAAATGAAGCTAATGCAGAATTTATTTTCAAAATGTTTTCAAAGCTCTGTGCACATATATTGTTCAAGTTTCGTAGGACAGAGGTTTTTTTCAAGGAATTCAAATCTTTCAAATGGACTACTAAATAACTCAACTATAATTATTAAAAATGAATATTTTAGGACTGAAAAAGTCACTTTTGAATGTTTGTCAAAGTTTTTTCCCTTTCCAGAACATGATGAGAAAGTGATGAAAATAATAAACGAAATAAATAACGCCATAGAAAGAAAAAGACGTTGTCCAGAATTTTTAAATCCTACCGAGTTTCACGAGTTATATGTTTTAGAAACTAAGTCTCAGCGATCGAAATATTTAAGTTATTTATTTAAACAAGAAAAACTTAAAGAGAAAGATAAGTTAATTAAAGAAGAGAAGAAAGAAACATCAAGAAAGTTAAAAAACGAGACTAGTTTTAATTGCGATTTTTCAAAATATGGGCTTGGTTGTAAAACATTATTAATTAACATTCGTAAGAAGTCCATAAACAAGTTTCATAATCAGCGATTAGCTAACTCTGTATTATTTGGAAATAGAATTGTGATCGATTTAGATTACGATGACTACATGATTGAAAAGGAAAGAAGGTCTTGTGCTGCTCAATTAAGACACATAATTGTTGCTAATAAAAATAATCACAATCCATTTGATTTGTACTTCTGTAATGCTAACCCTACTTTTAAATGTGTTCAGTATCTTAAACATGATGTTCCCAACATCGAAGATTCGCTTAACACATTCTATGACGAAAGTTATTTAGATATTTTTCCAAGTGAACAGTTGGTGTATCTTTCACCTCATGCCAATGAATCATTAAAAAGTTTTGATCCAAGTGCTATTTATATCATAGGTAGTTAAATAATTAAGCTGAATATGTTGTTTTATATATCAATGAATTGCATTTTTTTAGTTTATGAATAATCTAAGGTGAAGTGGGTATAAAATCAAGCGTTTTTTAAAGACTCTTAAACCAAACCATCAAATTTGGATGCATTTTATATACATTGGATTCATTTAGATTAAATGTGAAGCATTACTGGTCTATTTTGTTTGTTTTCTTACAGTAATGCAATCAAAAGAATATGTTTTGATGTACCTACTTTGCCCCAGAGTGGGTATTGTTCTAAATTTAGTATATACAGGGTGCGTAGCGTTTGTAAAAAGTACTTAAAGGTGCTTTTTTGGAGATTTCATTTTTAAATGCTTTTAAAGGTGCTTTTTTCAGCTGGCGTTTTTAAAAAGTGCTTTTTTTCCAAAATTTTTTTTTCTCTCCCTTCAGTGATATCTGGTGGATCCCATGCATGTCGCGAAAAATGGGGAGTTTGCTACGTAATCATTCATGCGGACTTCATGTCGTACTCTAGTTATGACTTGTGCATGCGCGCACACTTTAAACCGAGACCCGAGTGCTCCAATTCGGATAGAGCATATCAGATCCTTATGAAATGTTTTTCTTTTTAATTTATTTTAATTTTGTTCTTGTTTATTTTATTTTACTTCGAACACTTTCTTTCTTCTAAGGGTACTTTAGTTCTGAGTTCAGGATCAAGTTCGATTTACGTCCGTTTCTTTTTGGGTTTTTTTTAACGCTAAAACTGTTTATAAAAAGTTTTTGTTTTTCAATTATATCATTCATTGAATATGAATTTTTTGAGTGCTTGAAAATTTTTGTAAAGTGCTTGAAAAGTTTTTAAAAAGTGCTTATTTTTGATTCAAAGATTTGGCTACGCACCCTGATATATTTCACTAGAGAAACATATGCAAATATTGTTTAATTAGTGAAAATACTCTCAAATAAATGTATTATGATTATATTGGGGATATTTCCGTATCGTGATCTGTCGTGCCAACTATAATCGTCAAGGTGTCAAATAGATTTTAAACTTGCAAAATTATTTTTAAAAGAAATTTGTGGATGTTTGCCCGGGGTGGCTATGGCTTATACCTTAGTCCTTTTCTGTGATGTTTTTTTTTTAAATTTCTAGCGGGCCACTGCCCGCAAGTTTATAAGACTTGGTGATTATTCTGCCACAGATCACGATACGGTAATCTCCCCCAGTTGTTGTTTGGGAGTTTGACTCAGTAGTGAGGATACTGCAATATTTACTAAAACAGATGCTAAAATATAAAAAAACGTTTTCTATATTATTAAACTGAAGAGTTAATGTTGATGGCATCAAATTTAGGTTTATATTTCGGATGCAGTATATTTTGCTGAACTCTGCACAATTTCATTAAGAAGCAAGAAAAGTGAATTCTTTTTGGTTTATTTGAAATATAAATGATAGTGTAGAAATTAATGTATCTATCGAGGTAATTTAAAGCGTTTTTACTATTTATAGCCGACTTGTATTTTTAATAACTATAGTTACTGTAAAGAAATTGTTTTGTTTTCCATGAAAAACTGCCATATGAACTCAGAAACTGGCAGGAAAACTCATCTATATCTTTAAATATGCTCGTTGAGTTGTAGTATTATGCTATTTTGGTGAAATTTTGATTGTATAATATGCCTGTTTTATTGTTATCAGGTCGAGTCATAAGTAACTTCCATTTTTTTTTTTATCAGACATTTATTTTGCTCTCATTGAATAACTAAATTATATTAATTTACAGGGTGCGTAGCATTTTTAAAGGTGCTTATTTTCGTTTTTTTAAAAGCCCTTAAAGATGCTTTTTTCATTGGGTGTTTTTAAAAAGTGCTTAATTTTCCCTTTTTCAAAATGAGATTTTTTCTTTGCTGTGCTGATTTTCACTTCGAATTATGCAAAAAGACACAGCTCACATTGTTCTGTTCGAGGTTTTCATAATTAATTAATCCTCTATCTATTTCGGCGTATAGTCAGTCCATAGCGTATGAAAACGCAATTCGTTTTACACGATTCAAAATTTCATTATTTTTGAAAATTGTCAAAAATAATGCCAAATGTTTTTTTTTTTTTCTGACATGACAGTTAAAACAAGGTAAAATTGTCGATTGTTAAAACTTTCCAACCCTGCCTAATTATGATACATTTTTTAAATGCTTAAAAATATTTCTGAGTGCTTAAAAGGTGCTTATTTTTTTGTTGAATAATTTGGCTATGCACTCTGATTTATTATGCATTCACCATTATTATCAATAAACTTCTCCCATCTTACTGGCAGTTTATCAATTCATTCCATGTAAAATGTGGTTGGTTTGGACTGGAAGAAATTTTCGACAGCCTGCCTGACTTGCTCTTCAGAATTGAAGGTTTTTTCCATTCAAATTTTTTTTAAGGAACAGAAAAGGTGGTAGTCTGCCATGCAAGGTCTGGGTTGTAAGGTGGATGTGGTAAAACAGACCATCCAAGCTCAAGAATTTTTTCTTCAGTTACCTTTGCTGCATGTGGTTGCACATTGTCGTGTAAAAGAATGACGTTTTTCCATTTGGTTTTGATTAATATGAAGCACACCATCTTTTTCTAGATTTTTAAAATTAGTTCAGTGTATAGGTAAAAAACATTATATTATGAATTTTAAAAAGATACCAACGAGGTTTTGACCTTGAAGTTAGTCCTCGCTTTTTTTAAACTTATAACTGCTAGCTTTCTATAAAGTAACCAGTTTTTCTCATGTTGTTCAATTTTAAAGAAGTGTATAATATAAAAACTTTCAAAAAATTTTGATTTTTTTTTTTTTTTTTTTGCAAATTCTTTGCAGTTTAAAACAGATTTTTTTTGATTTATAAATTTTATAAATGTAATTGTTAATAAAATATCATTAAAAATAATCTGTAACTATTTATTTTAAGATCTACAAAAAAAATTTTTTCATAGATATAAATAATACTTGTAAATGCTTGATTCAAATTAAATGAAAATGTGATAGAAATGTGTCATAATTAATTACTGAAAAATGGGTTAAAAATCAAATCAAAATATTAATTTAACCATTATTTATTTTTTAATATTTAAAGTGACGAAATCCTTATTGTTACCTTTATTGCAGGTTGAGAAATATTTCTATATACAATAAATTAATAAACTGTTTTAGTGAAAAAAATTCAACCATATAAAAAGCAATCTTTAAGAAAAAGAATACATTTTAAATATTAAAATAAATAACAGTTTACAATTAAGGATTGGTAGTATTTTCATTGCCATCATATTCTTCTTTTTATGACAAAATCCTAATTTAATGATTACTTTTTACAGTATAAATGTGTAAAACGCACTACATTTTTACTTTTCTCTAAGGTTGCATTCTGGAAAATCTAAAAGAATTATAAAATTTAAATTGTTATTTCAAAATTGCTGTGATTTATTACAAACCAAGTATTAATAAAAATTTGCTAATAGAAGTCGCAAAAACAGCAATATATTTATAATACATTTTGAAACTATGAAAATCATTCAAAGATTTAATATATATCTCATATTACAATGCTTTGTAAATTTTTAAATAAATGATTTCTTTTATAAAAAATTAAACGCTTGATTTTAATCAATGATTTTTTTCTTCTTTTTTTAAAAAAAGAAACTGATTTAAATCAAATTATGGACATTTTTGTAAAATTTTGCGTAGGGGCTCTATACTTGAGATTAAAAATTACTTATATAAAAAGAAACAAGAAAGAACTAAAAAAAAATTATGTTGAGACAATATGTTAAATTTTTATATTTAAACAATGGTTATACATTGTTTAAATATAAAATTTTTCAGAAATTTAGTGTTTTGTAAATTTTATATACATTGTCATTTTATGCATTTTTTTAAAAAACTTTACCTCTCTGGTGGTTACTAGAATCAGCATATTAGGAGAAATATTTATTTCCTATGTTACGATTAAAAGAGTGTAGCGCAAGTTGTAACTTTCTCTGTGCATGATCGATGGTAGGTAAAGATATTTATTTCTGTGCACAAAAGTACAATCGTAAAAGATTAATAATGTTTCATTGTACACAGTTAATAAAAATGTTTAAATGCTCTTAGTTGTTATGATATTGATAAGTGAAATAAAATCTTCAGCTTATAAAATTTGATTTTTAGTATTTTAAGAAAAATCTAAAAATATATTTATATTTTTAATAGGTGGATTTGTAGATGTTGTGAAGAAAGAAAAGATATCTACAGAAAAGGCATTTACTGAAGGAATCAAAAGCTATTCATTACCTTTAGATGATCATATCAAGTAAATAAATATTTAATTGCTTTGTTCATTTACATGATATTTAGTTTTTTGTTAATTAATGATCTATTAAAATTTAATAGGCAGTTTTTTAATTTAATATTTTGTATGCTTTGTAATAAATGAACCTGGTGCAGTGTTGTTTTGGAAAACTTTGTCCCTTTAGGCTTATGGGCCTGAAAACCAGAGTCTTAAAAAAAAGACCATTCACTAAATTTCAAATCTTAAAAAAGGAGACTTCTCACAAAATTCAATCTTCCAAAACTATAAAAATATATAATTTTTTAAGTCTTACAATTAATATTTTGTTTGCATTTTTAGCTATAAAATGGATTTTCCATATGCATGAAAATTTGCATTTTTTGTGAATAATTATTGATAAATAAACATGAGATCTGTAGCAAAGGGGCGGAGATGGAGGTGAGCCCTACATCAGAAGATTTTTTGCAAATTTCAGTCCCCTAAAACAATATGAATAATTTCTTTAAATTATATAATTAATATTTTGTTTGCATTTTTAACTACAAAAGGTTTTTTATCATGTGCATGATAATGTGTATTTTTTGTGATAATTATTAATAAATACACATGAGGTCTGTGGCCAAGGGGCATGAGATGTGGCTTAACTCCATCTCAGTAGATTTTCAAAAAGATTAAATTTTATCAAATTAAGTCAATATTTATACTAATCAATATAGTTATTTGTGCTAATATTTAATAAACAAATATTGAAGAAGATGTATAATAAATAAGCAAATCTTCATATCTAATTTTTTAATCCATATTTTTGAATTAGATTAAATATTTCATATTAGATTAAAATATTTCATTTGTACAATAACAAAACCTTTTCTTAAACTTCTTAAGGTTGACTTATGGAAAAAAAACTTTAACATGACACATCATTGTCTTGTTTAATGAAGTATTGTTTCTAATGAATTGTTTTATGCTGATTCGAATAACACCATAATCAAGTTGATAGGACTAATAATTAAAATGTTATAATGGATTAATTAAGAATGAAGTATAAAGAAAAAAATTTAATTTTCCGATCAATAATGTTTAGTCGCCTGAAATATCTATCTAGACCTTGACAAATGAAGTATTACTTTCTGCATATTTTTCACTTTGAATTGAATAAAACCTAAAACAAAGCTGTTAGGATCAATAGTTCAAAATGTATTGTTATTATTGTTTATATGAATAAAAAGTAATTATGCATATCTGTATGTTGGATATTACTATATGAATAGGTGAAATGTTGGAGATAATGTTGAATTGATTTAGATGAAAACCAAGTAGATTGGGCTAAAAATATTGAATTTACAATTGCTTTAAGTATTAAAATTTTAATTTTTCACTTATGCCTTTTTTAGCACAAGACCCTTCTAACTTTATAACTAGTAATAGTTTTTTAGACTTACTTAATTTTATTTAGTTTAGCTTTAAAAAAAACATAAACAATGCCTAACTTGTCTGCAGATCAATGTTAAATATATAAAAAGGTTAAGTACAAAAATTATATATCTTATACATGAAATCTTATTAATTCTTATAACTTCTGAACTACTAGTCATACCAATTTAGTTTTAGTTTTATTCTTTACAGCATAAAAAGTAAATAAGATCCAACATTTCACTTGTTTAATATTGCAATATCTTTTATTGTATCATAACTTAATAAATCTTTTAATTTAACTTAATTAATATTTTGATGTAACTGATAATTTAATTGTTTTTTTTTTATATACTTAAGAGTAGATTGTATTTGTTATTGCCTTAGCTATAGAATTATTTAATTCATCCCAAAAAACTACTCAAGAAATAATGCCTCATTCATACCTGCCAACTTTTAATCCCTTCCATTATCATTTTTCCCAGCGGCATTAAAATGGAATTAAAACTTCAATTTTAAGCAAACAAATACGTTTCATTTGAAAAATCTTAAGTTGACAACCATGATAGTAACGCATATTAATATATAAGCTTAATTTTTGTAAGAATAGTGGTGATCAAAATCATTTAAAAATTAAGTTTATAAAAGAAAAAATAGTATATATTTACTACCACTTTAAATATCAAAATAAAATCTTCCGGAAAATCCGGAAGAGTTGGCAGGTATGCTCATTTGTCTTGGTAGGTATTATAGATGCATGAATATTTGCAATCAAAATATGAACTTTGTACTTACCAAACCTCTTATAATTTCTAAACTATTGGTTCTATTGATTCGATTTTAGTCTTATTGTCGATTTAGCGGGTAAAAATGCTCAAGAAATAATGCATTACTTATCTAGATGGTGATCTTAAGTTGTTTTTTTTTTCCGGATTTGAAACCTCACTCTTTCAATAAATTCGAGATGGTGGTTAAAGCTCATCCCAGGGAAAATGACAAATTTCAGGCTTCCGTATTGGATTCAACTGCAACAAAACATTTTCTGCTTTCCTCTAATTATTTCTGAATCGATCCTTTTTTTAAACAAGGCCAATCAGTATTTTATTATTTTTTCTTTCAGGTGGAAATCAGGTTCTAAAAGTCTTACTATCAATCAAGTTTTTGAAATTATGCTGATTTTGAAAAACACTGGTGACTGGAAAAAGGCATTTGAATGCATCCCAATTCGAAAAACTAATGATACAAAGTCTTCAGAAGAAAACCAACATTCAAAAAATGCTTTGAATGTTGAAGAGCAAGTTTTGCAGACTAATTGATATTGTAACCATTAACGTATGTTCAAGTAATTATATAAATTTATATAAATTCTAAGTGAAAATATTTAGTTTAAAGTTTATTTATTATTATAATACAGATTCGTAAATATTGTATTTTTTAAATGTATTGTGCACAAAAAAAAACCGATCCATCCTAATTAACTTATGATCAGTTCTTCACGTTCTAGAACTCAATCGTAATGGTTCAAGGGGGTGACCTCAAATATGCTAATTAATTGGTGCAGATGACATTTTAAGTTACAAAATCAGACATAAAAACATACTTTCTCTGAATAAGCACATTTTTTTCCCTTGGATTCTGATTTCTGTCCCGAAGTATAAGGTAGGTGCAATCTGGGAAATATTGTACCAAAAGTTTGGTCCTCTTAATGCTAATTTTACTTTTTGTGTATTTCCCCTTATCTTGAGAGGTTTATCGTTATTTTAAAATATTCATATGCTTAAAATTCGATTTCTCAGGAACCATTCAACCAATTTTCCTCAAATTCTGTATTTTCTCATGTAAAAATACATGCTTTAAAATTACTTAAAAAATTGTATAACTTACAATTCAAAAATTTATTAATAAATTAAATAATGAAAAATAATAAATATTTACTGAAATTTAATTTTTTTGTATGGAATTATCTTTGGCTAAAGGAATTTAAAATATTGTCTCCACTAATTTGGCATACTTGAGGTCACCCCCTCCAACCATTAAAAATGAGTCCTAGAACATAAATATACGATCATTAGATCAGAAGTTATTCAGGATGGTAATTTTTTTTTTGGTGCACTGTACATGAACATATGTAACACATGCAAAAAAAATTTTGATTTACTTTTTTCCAAACAAAAATGCACACTTTCGATATTCTGACATTTTTTGAAGCTTCTTAAAATACTTTAGAGAAGTATTACAATTTGTTTGCTCTGTAATTTTTAGAATTTTAAAGTGCATGTTTCCTCACACTTCTTATACAAAAAATTTTGTCATCAGAGATCACATATCAATACAACTAATTTAATAATGGTAAAAGATATATTTGAAATTCTGTTCCAAGTAACAAATCTGTAACCTTGGCAAAGATTTTTACTGTGAATATATATTCTTTAACTTACTTATACAGTGTGCTAATAAAATATAAGGTGAAAAATTGCTAATTTTAAAATTCCTGTTTATGAAATTGTAGGTAAATTTTTTAAGTAAAAATAGAAGTAAAATTAATTTATTTCTCGTGTAAACTAATTAAATTTTTCAAATATAAATCTGTTTGAATTTAGATTTTGTTCTTTTTATCCAAATGATATTGTAGAAAAGTGTAAAGACATTGTATTTTCTTCCATAATTGAAAAATGTGCATATTTGAAATCAAAAAATAGCAATCCTGTGTTAAAGGATTGGTTTGTGAAAGAAATTTTGCTCTCATTGACTTTCAGCGTGACTTTTGAATAATGCCTGAAGGAACTCATCCTTCTGAGTCTGAAAAAGAAAAAAATTATTGCTTTTCGAAAATGCGGATTAACTGAACAGGAAATTTCTAAAAAAAAACTTTGAGACCAAAAATTTGCCCTTGTCGACAGAAAAGAAAGATTGTAGCCAGAAAAAAGAAATTTTAAATGAAGTTGGATAAAATTTTAAATTAATTATTGTTCATTAAGGACTGTTTAGAATAAACATAATATTTTTTATGGGAAACTAATACCATGTCCACCTTTTACAAATCATCATAAGAGAGAAGCAGTGACTTTGCCAGAAGAATTAATTTCTCTTGATCAAAAATGGACTCTTGTAATTTTTTCGGACAAAAAAAGATCAAGCTTGATGAACCCGATGTTTTTCGTTATGATCTGTAAAAGACGAAGTATTTTGCAATTGTCTATATGGTGGTGACTCATTGATGGTTTTATATTATATTTTGAAACCTTCGTTGAAATTTGGACAAATATGTTAGGATTCATTGTTTTAAAGATGATTTAGAAAGTTGTATATCCTTTTTAATAAGCTATATTTACTTTCAATTATATTTTCTGTGAAATTATACTCACTTAACGTATGCAATGAAAATCATAAACAGAAACACTTAATATTATATTTAAAATTATAAGTGGGTATTAAGATTTAACTTTTCATGCTATTACTAAACTAACTTGGCTAAAAACATTTAACGAGTTTTTATAGTAAGCCAAAAACTAAATAAGTTCAATAAACAATTTTATGGATGAAGATGCGATGGCATCCCTTCAAAATGTTTAGATCTAAATTTTATTTTATTAGTTGGCCAAACAGTCCAATGAAAATTTCTCCATAAAAAATTTCTCTGAAAATAACGACTTCTGATTTTTCTTTGATCTCCGATTCTTTTCATTAATTTAATGAAAATGAAACTCCACCAAATCAGCCCTCTCAACCTCGGGCTTCCCCGCTTTCTTGTTCCAGTGGGTCTAAAAAGCAATCTCTTTTTTATTGTATTGCCATAACTCATTTGAATCATGTGGGCCATCCAATTCATTCTATCTATTTTTATGTATTTAATAATATCAGGTTGTGTTTATAAATCTTGTCCAAGTTAAATATCTTCCAGGTATTGTTTTCATTTACACCACCAAGTGTTTTTGGCAAAATCTTTCTCTCAAAATTTTTTATCCTCATAGAATTGAAAACAAAACATGTGGTACCAATTCTGTATTAACACTTTGTTAAACAGAATGTATGTCATGTCGCTGACTCCTTTTTTGTAATTGAATATGGAAGTAAAGTAAAACATAAATAAACTCCAATATTTTTTTTTTTGTACTGAATGAAATGAAATTAAACTTCAAAATATTCGATAACGCCCAAAGGCAATGACAAGTTAACTTTTCACCGGTCAACAACTTGTTAATACAATATTTTGCATCTTTTATCTTAATAATTTTTAATTTAAATGCAACAATCTGAGGAAATAAAAATTATAAGAGAAAATCTTGGAATTTTTGTTTTTCTCAACCTAAAATTTTTAAATGCTAAGATACATATTTGTAAGATACGATTTTTAAAAAAGAATCACTAAGTAAAAACGCTATTATTTCTCTCTTGCTGCTGGTCTAGTTTTAAAAGAAATGTCTTGCTAATCAGCGACAACCTATTTTTTTAAAATCCCCCCCCCTTTCTATTTAAACTTTCATCCAGGGTGATGTTGCCCGGAAGAAAGGGCATAAAAAAGCAATGCTTTGGAGACACACTATTTATTCTATTAATCTTCATATAAATAGCTTAGGATGTTTAAATATAAAGATTTTTTTCCAGGTGTGTATGAACTCTGCAGGCGCAACAGGAAGTGAAATTTAAGTACCTAAAAACTTTATTGAATCGTAGAAAAATAGATTTCGGTTCCCTTTTTAAGTTTTCCTGGTCATAAACCATTCAAATTATTGGTATATGTGTTATGTCTAATAGCTATTTGTTGAAAGAAAAACAAAATGTTCACTTTATACAATAAAATATATTTTTTTTAAATATATAAGGCGATGTTGTTTAGTCTTAGTTTGTTTGGAAAATATAATTGATAAAAAGTAAGATTCTCAAGAGCCCCTGGCATAAAGACTGTATTAATTGCACTATTACCTTGACTATTATCAATTAATAAAACCCTAGTTGACAAAGAATATTTCTAAGTTTAATTTCATTTCATTCACTATAAATAAAATTTATTGGATTTTATTTAGAATGTTTTTACTTTACTATATTCAATTCAAAATAATAGCCGGTGACTTGACACAGTTTCTGTGTCAATTGCATATTGAATACCTCCATTATGCAAATAAACTGTATTGAAACCAAATTATTTTGATTGATATCAATGTTAATTTTTCTCATATAAACGATTATTTACGATTGCTACTTCTCGCTTAATTGCATAAGGAGGACGGGAAAAAAATTATCACCAGTTAGAATAGAATTTTCGTTTTTCTGTTAAGATGAGAATATAATTCGTGGTCACTTCAATGACTTCTTATCCATTTTCTGGATCAAAAGGTGTCAGGGGGTTGTTTTAAAGTTAAACAAATCTTGTTGACAGTCATAAAATAGACAAGGTTCCCCCCTTCCTTTAGCAATATTTTACTCACTCACTATTTAGAATATGGGAAGATAAGAAGTAGAGAATTTTGTTCTGTTAAGTGTATGTCAAAACAGCCTTCAATTAACTGATTTCTTTAAAAGGAAATAAATAGCATTATAGTATGTATATTATACTTTTCATTATCATTGATTTATATAATTTAATGATTACTCTATTTTTAATTACATAGTTCAAAAATCATTTATAATACTAACATTAACATCTGTAATTATAATTGTTCATAGATTATTAAAAAGATTTTATTTCTCATAACATTATACTACGTATTACGTACAATTTCAAGATGACATTTCATAAATTTTTAGATTCATTAGTGTACTATTTTAATAATTGAGAATCTACTTAACTTCATGAGAATCACAATGGCCAAATTTTTGAGGGAGACGAAATTAAATTAGACAACCACTAAAGTTCACATATAAGGAAATATGATTCTGAAATGTGCTTAATACACCTGTAAAAAAATTATTTTATCTCCTTCTTGTTTCTAACTTTTAGGAATTTTATTTCATGATAATTCACAAAAAATTTCCTTATGTGTCTGAAGGGGACTTATAGTGATTTCTAATTATTGAGGGGAACCTATAAATAAGCCTTACCCCCCATGCCCCACTTAATTGAATACAGTTGGCTGAAATCAATGATATTCCAGGGCTGACTGTACTATATTTCATCAAGATTATTTAATTCTTAAACTTATGATTTTTGTTAAAAAATATTGATTTAAAGGTAATTAGATTTATAAAGTTATTTGTTTGTTAAAAGTAATTTTTTTTTAATGCTATAATTCATAAAAAAAAAAACAATTATAAATCAGTTATTGTCAAGGTTTTATTTTTTCTTATACAAAAGGAACTGAATATTTTAAGTTTGTTAGCTTACTTTATTATAATTTAAGGTTAATTAATTTTACTGGCAATAATTACTTTCATGCCTTTGCTGTTAGATATGCGTTAAGACAGAGGTTGCCAACTTGGACATTCCAGTTCTTCTCATTATTTTAAGTGGCAATTAAATAATTGAGTAAATGAAGGTTCTTACAATTTCGCTGTCATCTAAAGATAATTTTGTTTGGTTTTTATATATTTTATATTTATCTTTTAATTATTTACATATTGTTGTGGTTAAAACAATTTTTAATCAAACATTAAAACATAAATTCTGCTACTACTTTAAATATTTAAGACATTTCTGACTAAAAGTCATAGAAGTTCGCTGGTCTGTTTAAGAATTTACAAGTTTCTTTTTTTTTTAAAAAAAAAACTATAGCGTGTTACAGTCTACAGAAAAATTCCTTGTAGCAAAATGAATAATTAATTTTTAAACTATGTAAACATATTTTTAACACCTTTAAAAAAACATAATTTGTCTTGAAATTGTATCGAAATCCATTTTGGAACTACAGTAACTGTTATAAAACCATGTTTCTAAAACAGAACAAGGTTATAATTAGTAATTATTCATTATAATTTAATGGTTGAAAAAGTCAACTAATATGCTGGGAAATGGTATTCAATTTAAAAATCTGTTGTACTTTGCGAAACACCATAATATTGGAAGATAATCCTCTTTAAGCAGTGAATGCCCCCAGACTATCACTCACAGTAGAATTAGATCAGCAAGAAAGAGATGATGTTAAAGTTCTTCCTTATTCTTTGTCTTCTAAACTCTTAGTGCCATTATTCCTAAGTTCAAAAAAAAGTGCTAATCCCAAGAAAAAGACTGATTCTTAAAGTGACATAGAATATCCAAATGATTGATTAAAGAATATGACAACCAACTTAGTTGACTACAAACAAGAAGCAAGTCTGCAATTGCAACCCTACATAGTTATGGTATCATCATTTGGCTTTCCTATCCAAGTTTATCTGGCAGGGTAAGTTCATTTTAATCATCTCTCCTTTAAATTTTTATATGTTTTTTTTAAATTTACTTAGAACAAAATTCTTGCAAAAAACAATTCACAATTTCAATATATGATCATGATAATATTGAAAGTCATTAGTGAGTTGGGGGGGGGGAATTAAATTCAAGCAATGACGTGTATACACATTGAATGCAGAGCAAATGGTTCTATTATTAATTTTTCAAAAAATGAGAATTTTTGTAATGGTTACTGTTATTAGGAATGTGTTAAAAATATTATAAAATACATAGACAAGAAAGAAAAACACAAGGATAGAAAATAATTTTACTTAAGACATAACAGGTTTTCTTCAGATCAGGGCTAATATTTTATACATATTGAAATTAAAAAAAGAGTTGATACTGTAAGAAAATCATTTCATTTTAACTTATTACTTATGAAGAAAATTAAAATATCCATGCCCTAAATTCTTTTATCAGTTATAACATATATTCTTTTTTACCCAAGCTGAAGTTAATAGTGATAAATAATTTATAATTAAAATAATAGCAAGTCAAAATCAAGTTTTGTTACCTGTTTTACTTTTAGCCCTGCTTCAAAAGCAGGGAAGTGAAAGATTATTTATCCAATGTTTTGGTTTCTTGTATTTAATTCAAGAATGTTTGGGGTTCTGCCATTATTTTTTCTGAAAGTCCCCCCCCCCCCGTAGAATACTTAGTAGTTCTATTTTGCTAAAGGGAATATACCACTAAACTATTCCATACTTATTATATTTCAAGTTTTGTTAATATGTATGTTATGACAATCCTATTATATGTTATAAAAAATCTTGGTAGCCATGGATATTTCAATTTTCCCGAATACAAGCAAAACATTTTTTATAAGTTTTTACTTTGAACGTTAAGTTTAAACGTAACGAATAAGTTTTTAGTTTTTACGTTTTGATATATATAAGCTTACAGCCAGTTATGTCTTAAGAGTAAAAGGATTTTCTACCTTTCTCCATTTTTCTCGTTTATGTATATTTCATTATTTTTTGAAGTTATTAATAACGGTAATTTTTGAATAAGTAATAATGCAAATCCTTACTTGTTTTTTTAAAAGTTAACTATTTGTCATTGCTTGATTTCACACTCTAGGTAGATTTCTAAAAATTAATTTCAGCGCTTAACTGGTTAAAATGCATGTCAGGAATCCATGTAAATCAAATAATTTATTTTATACTTCACTTTAGTTCTTTCTTTCCTTGAGGTTTAAAGAATGGCCCAAAAAATATGAATTTTCTTTGTGAACTAAGTAAATAGGAAGCAAATAAAAATGACACAATTAACTAATAAAACTTTTTTAATTTACATTTGCTTTGTTTCATAAAGAATTAAGTCAAACATTTAAAGCAGCACACTATACTGAAACAAAACTGAAGACAAACTAAGACATAAAGGTTCTATTAATAAATGATAAGCTAAAATAGTTATTAGATTAAATAGAAGAAGAATTTATATATTACAAGGTACATTGAGAATATTTGTTTTAATATTTAATGTAACATATCTTTGTCCACTTTATTTAATCCAGAAATCCAGGAGGGGACGGGGTAACATGTCGAGAAGCATACCATTCGTTGTCGTTTAGATTCACTAACTCAGCCACAACAACTGCAACATCTCCATTATGTTTTTTCAATAATGTCTCGTTTTGTTGTCGATTACAAAATCCCATTTCTATCAACTGGTCCATAGGATTTAAAGTCTCTGATCTGTTAACAGAGGGTGTACCGGTATGAATATTTGTTGGTCTTTGCAGTGGTTGTGAAATGCCTTCAACATTCTAGTAAAAAAAAAAAAAAAAATGAATAAATCACACTATCAATAATCTTTAATTTAAAAACATTTTAGTCAATACTTTTCCTGTTATTAACAATAACTTAGTACAGTGAAACCTGCCAAGTTGACCTCAATTATCAAGAATGGAATTTTTCCTATATAATATAAAGAATCAAAACCTTTGTATCTTGACCACCTGTCTATCTTGTATGTAGAACACTGAAATTATGAAATTTTATTCTAAAACCCTCATAAGTTGACCAGGAAAAAAACAAATTCCGAAAATTTTCTGTCATTTTGCAATGTATGTTAAAATTTCACTTGTTTGGTGAAATAGTGTAAAAAGCTAATCTAAACTCTTTTGTGAGTTGACCATCTGGGGAAACTGTATGGCAGGGATGGCGAACCAATGGCACGCGACACAATATTTTGGGCACTCCACCGATCACAATTGTTGCTACACTTTGAAGCACATGTAACAGTTAAATTAAAATTCACAAAAATAAACAAAATAATAAACAATATTAATGCTAAAAAAACGATTAATAAACCAAGCTAACAATAAATAATTAGCGAAAAAAAAATTAACAATCCTGCTTAAACTAACATCTTACAACCTAGTATAAGTTATTTGTCATCTAATCTGCAACAACAGAAGTCACACTAATGATACTTGAAAGTTGAATTATGCGTATAACTGAGATATTGCAAAATGTATTTTTTTTTCAATGTAAATAAAGAGTTTTGAGTTGATAGTATTTAGTATTATTATTTTCCTAATAATCACGAAGTTAAAATTATTTGACGGCGCGTCTCTGACCTCATTAAGCAATTTTTTTAGAGAAAATAGCACGTTGGTGTATAAAGGTTTGCCACCCCTGCTGTAGGGGGTCAGCTTTTGATCATTCATTCATTGAAAACAGGTGTGTTAGTTGAAAAGTTTCTCTTCCAGTTGCAATAGTGAGCATTTGAATAAATGAATGCTTTGATCTTTTATTTGAATAAATAGGGTTTGTAAGTGTAGTAATAACAGAATAAATTTTAAAGTGTTCAAACAATTTGTTTTGTTAAAGTTTTCAAATTACATGTTTTCGTGTTCTAATATTTTAAGAAATTATTTTTATTAAACACTTCGCATGCTTAACTAACGAAATAATTTTTAAAAAAAAGTTAGTTAAATATTAGAATTATGTATATGTAACAAATTGAAGTTCATTCATGAACAGATTTCTTAAGATATTGATTTGGCTATTTGCTAAATAAAATTTTTAAGTCAAGTAAAAAAAAAATTTAAATATATAGCAACATGATATAGGAAACGAAAAAGTAAACAATGACCCACCTCCTCTATAAGTTGCCCACAAGTGGTCAATTTACACAAGTTTTACTGTATTACTAAATCTATACAAGAATGTATATTTCATGCTTTAAATTTTAAAAAAACGAATCATTTTTGATGTAACCTTATTCTTGTAATAGTTTCTGAACACAGCTAAAACTTGTTTTAAACGTTTCTGTTTAATAACGTTTTTCTCTTTTCTTTAGTTGAATTAATTGAGAATAGAAGTATCAACACATTGCTATCTAAATAATTGATGTATTGAAGTAATTAAATAATTTTATGTAGGCTGTAATATCTTTCTCTAAAATTGGGAACTATTAATTCTATTGGTCTTATTAAATTCAGAGTAAAATTTCTTACTTCCCTTTTTGACTTGGAAACTGAACTGTAATATGAATCAAATCAAATTAGAATTAACTTTCAAACCTATTTGTACTAAAAATGCTCAGCTCCTAAATTATAATTTTTTAACTGATTAATGCAATATTAAATAAATTATATCATCTTTAGGTCATGTACTTTTCTTGAACTAGAAATTAGCAGCAAATATTAATAGCATAGAAAAATTCACAAACAACATATTTAAGTAATAAATTAGAAACCAAAAGACAATCTTGATAAAGGTGCTTTATAATGCAATTTAAAAATGAATAAAATTTAATAGAGTTAAAAAAATAACTTTTTGCATTTGTAACCAAGGTAATATTTATTTATATATTTTAACTACTTTATTACTATAATCTCTATATTACCCGTATATAATTTCTATTTATTACAATAATCCCTACCACTGATATCTTACTTTAACACTGTGATCCGTATGCGGAGTTTGTATCAATATAGTAAATATAATCGATTGTTTTGTGTATAATTTAAACGTGAAGTTCTTATGAAATCCAAATTGTGTAGTTACCTCTTTGGGTTGTTGAATTGTTGAAATAACTGCTTTAGCTGTATTATAAACTGATGCTGCGGCACTAAGCGCACCAAAAACAAGACCTTCAGGAAGTACTTGGATAGTTCTGATAGTAAGAGAGAAAATAAAACATTAAAGATAAATTTCAACCATAGAAACACATATTCAAAATAAAATTTAAAACACAAATCCCTGTAAAATTTAATATTAGGATTGGAATAAAATGCAAAATTTAATTACCTTTCCTCAGGATTGTTTGGATTCAGAGGCTGTCTTTCAAAAATATCACCGGTCACTCCTTCAACAGGGAACTTTGGAAATGTTGCACTATTTGGAATGTCAATAATTTGTTCCTGTATAGAGAATTAATACAGATTTATTAAACACTGAACAACTTACGGAAAAGGGATGTCTTACTAAATAGTAAATTGATAGCATTTTATTTAAAAGAAGAAAAAAAACATTAATTTTTACTATAATACGTTTAAGACACTGTCAAGTTGTCCCTTTATTGCCTAGAGAGATCATGTTTTCATGACTAACAGCTTGATTATGACATACTGCCTTTACTTCTCAGACAGGCTGTATCTATTTATCTGAAGCAGAGGCAGAACGATACTGGGTGTACTGCAGAATTCTGCCTCGCTTTTTATATCATGGTCTGGAAACGAGGAGCAGGGCATGTGATTTTTTCGCAGACTTTAAATTCTTAAGACCATTGATTCAATCAAAATATCATAGTGTAAGAAACAATAGAGTATGTATTTTTCCAATTTGCAATGGCCACCATCAAAATTTTGCTAATTTTTTTTCTTCTTTATTTGAAGCATCACTTTAACTTAGGGAGATAATATATAGATTCATTTGAATATAAAAAAAAGATTTCTTTTCTACTGCTTCAGTTAAAAGTTTATTAACAAGAACAGCCATTTACATAAATTTTATTTTATTGAAATTATTTTCATTTTGTTTAGATTGCTGCACATCTAGGGTTTGCGGGCCGCATATGGCACCCCCATCCTAGAGCATGTAATATTGTGCCATAGAAATGTGATTAAATTTTTAATAATTATGATTAAAAATATTTATTATAGCAAGGAAAACTATTAATAAAATTTTAAAATCACACGTATTAAGAGTTAAACTAGGATGTTAAAAATTTTTCTAACAATATTTAAAGTACTAGATTACCAAGCTGTTTAATTTTAACACCCTTACTAAAATTCGAAAGAAATTTTTTGCAGACAATATTGTGCAATAGAATTTGCTTAACCATTTGCATATTCTATTGTACAAAACAATTGGCTGTTGTAACAAAAAAAATTATCGATTGCATTTCCAAAATTCGGTTTATTACACTTTGTGCCATTAACTTAAGAGTTGTATTAGCCCTGCAAATGTAAATTAGTTGTTTATAAGTGTTGTGTATTGGAATATATTATTTTGGTTTATTGAAATAAAAATCATCTGTAGTAATAAAAATTAAACAGAATTCCATGATTGAAATTTTGAGAAAAATTTAAGGAGCAAGTAATAAAATAACTTTTAATTTTTCTTCTCTATCAAATATATAATCAAAACTTTGCATAATGATTTGAAATAGAATGCAATTAATTCTCCGAGGAATAATAATAACAAAGTAAGATTTAAAATTTTTTCATTAAACTGAACATATAAGTATTGGCACAAGAGATGCCAATTGCAGTAACTATATACTGCTTCTGTGTTTTTTTATCTGTTACCATCAATGATTTTAATTTTAGCAAATGAGTACAATAGACCACCTCCATCAACATCAGATTTACATTTGTCAGCTAATATACACTTTGAAGTTAAGCAGACCCAAAGTATAGTATTTATACTAGTTCTATAAAATTAGACTTCTGTTCAAATAATAATTACTAAATTTTAGAAACATGTAAAACCTTTTAAATTCAAATGAAGAAAATTACCTGATTTACTTCATTTGTAGCAGATTCAGCTACAGTAGTTACACAATCAGTCAGACGAGCAGCAATTTGATTCATTTCATCCTCACTGAAAGTGTCTTTAGAAGATAACTTTACATTAATAGAATCAAAAGTCTGATTAACATTTTCCACTGCAGGACTACTACTGTCACTTTCAATGATGCTTACTTCAGAAGAAGAACCATCTGTAGCTACTTGAGTTATGGTGGTTGTTTGCTGGTTATTTACTAAACCTTCAACAACAGTGAGCTTGCATACACTTTCTGATAATTCAGGAACACCAGTTTCCTGTGAAACATTTTCAGAATTGGGAAGAGGTTTTTCTGTCGTATTTTTGACTTGCACATCCTTTGGTACTTCAATATCAAGGTTTGTAATCACTTCTAAAAACACAAAACATTTGTGACTAAACTTAATATCAGAATGTTAAGAGAAAAAAAAAGTGACTGAAATTACTAAACAAAAAGAAATTTTATAACATTAAAGGACATTACATTTATGAAGAATTTTTGTTATTTCACGTCTTTGGTAAGTAAGAATACTTTGTAAAATTTTTATTTGAATTAAGTTATTCACATTTTAAGTATTTAATAGTTCTAAAATTATTATGAATATTTTTTATTACATTTCAAAAAATTAAAATTGCTTACAGTTGACTTCAACTCGATGTTTCTACAATTTTTCACGACTGTGAAAATAATACATAAATAAAATCAAACTACAAGGAATAAAACAACTTAGTTAGCGCACACATATTTTTTTCATAGTAGGGGAAATAATTATATATTCTTGATAAATAAATGAAAAGTATCTCACCTGCTTCAATCAGATTATGAGGCATTCTGAAATGTTCAGAAATAAAGGATTCTGATAAATTGAAACACTTGGGCATTGGAATGACAACAAATTCTGTGTCTGAATCTGTACTATTTAAGCTAACAACACTGCATTCATCATCTTCATTGTCAGAATCTGAAACATATCTAATATGTAGTATATTCTACAATATTAAGCAAATTATTCATATTCTGTAGCAATTGTTCAAAAAAAAAGCAACAAAAACATCAAATGCATTGGCACAATTCAGGTTAAAATGAAAATATTAGACTGGATGGAAGGCTTAACACACAAGCTGGAACTGGTTCTATTGCACACAACCTAAATAATTTAAATAGTCAATTTATTTAGTAATAGCAAAAATATGTGACATAAATGCTGTTACAGGACAGAATATTTATTGCTGAGAAATGAATGGTTATAAATTCTGACCATGTCAATTGCTTTGTTAAAGTAATTATATTTTGAAATTAAATCTATATTATGACATTACCAGTGACCCCTTTTAAACACGAGAAATATGCCAAATGTTGTTGAGGAGAAGTAAACAAAGTTATAAGGTGGTTTTCCAGAACACATAATTTTCATCCCAAAGAAAAATGAGCGTCTAGCAGATTTAAATAGACGAAATTACACTTCAAAAATAAATTACATATAATAACTTTAACTGCTAAAAAATATAAATACAGGTTTTACTAAAATGTTTATTATTTATCAGACTTAAAATATTTTACTCCAGTTAATTTGTCGCTTCAATGCATGGGTGCAAGTCTTCCATCCCCAGGATGGATTTCCGTCTTTCGAAAATGTCCGCGGACGGAAGTAAGACGGAAACTGACTCGAAGACGGAAATCTGAATTTTTTTCTTCTGTCCTTACAAATATTTTTTAGGTCTACGTTATTGGTCTACTTTCTTATGTCCTGTTGTTATTTTATCAAAAGACAGATGAATAAATATTTTTTGTACAGTATTTAAACTTGATGTATTATGGTAAAGCTTTCTTAGATAGTTTGCATATGTCGAGGGGGTATTGTGTATGTTAGGTATTTCAGTCAAAAAATTTTCAGT